TGCGAGAGTTAAGAAAAGCGCGCGAAAGCACGAGCCGAAGGCGAGTGATTTTGCGCGCTTTTCTTAACTCGAGCAACATTCCCAAGTGTTTGGATCAGACCATCCTAACAGGAAAACCATAAAGTAATTGTTTTATAAAATAACAACAACACGATAGTCTTCCGTGTTTGGATGGCCTGATCCAAACACGGGTTTCGACCAATCAGAGCACGCGTTATATACATGTTATTTTATAATGGATAGTGCCGGTATACATTCCATATTTAACATGGACAGACCACAGTGCATTGTGAAATGTGAATTTAAAATTGCGTCTCTTTGACGTCTTTGGTGAAAAAAGTGATTATATTTATCTGACTAGATGAGATACGAATGCTGTGCTATGCACTGCCATTAAAGCAACTATAACCTCGATTGTTGTAGAATTTAGTTATGTCGTTTGATGAAATTTTGATAGTTCTATACATATTGCATCAAAAACCATATTCATGCAGAGAGAGAGTAATATCTCCAAGTATTTTACAAAATTACAGAGGATTACATGCAAACACAAGGCCAAGGGGGTGGGCTGCCATCTCCGGCTAAAATTCTAAAACTACCGGTCATGCATGCACATAATTATAACAAAACAACTATAGTCTATAGCGAAAGCAATGCTCTATGATTTTAACCATAAAAACTCGATAGCCAAACTTTTATATTTTTGCATGTATGGCAGTACGCGTTTTTGGAACCCAATTGAAGCATGAGATTTATACCTACATTTCGTTTCGTACAATTTTCAAAAAGTTAGTCCACGAAACTGTAAAATTTGTCACAGTTAATTAATGAGCTTTGGTTAAAATTTTGTAATAAACCTAGCAGTTTTGCGGGGTGAAGTTCCCAACACGCATATAAAGGTCGAGTTGTTGTTTTGTCATATTCGGAGCTGAAACGGTAGTCGAAAGAAGACTCGAGATTAAGACATAAACAGTAATTTTTAAAGCCCGAAATTTTATCATAAAATGAGCTTTCGCACCCATGATATATTTGACTATTTGGTATTTGGCTTTCGCACGCACGCTTTATTTTTTCAATCATTTTTGTCGTTTGCTGGACTGTAAAACACCAATGACATAAGATAACTATTAATAATGAATTGTGAGTTGACGGATCACAGAGTCATCAACAAATACGTCATTAGTTGGGGTTCGCGACGCCATCTCGAAAGTATTGTTTTCACTGTTTATTGACTTGTGCTTATACCCAGTGCTTGCCCCACTTGGCAAGATGGCGTCATGAACCCCCAAAACATCAGTGATTTGAGTTTCAACCAAAAACCTCAATTGTTGCAGCTGAGAAATTGTTTGCCTGTGTGGGTCATTTAATTCCTATTTAAGGAGAGATATGAATAGGAATTCCCCCTCCATCTCTTTCTATTTGTTTACGTAATTGTTTTATTCTACAAAAGTACAATCAAACTTATCTTATAACGTTAACACGACCATGTCAAGTCATCATGCATGACGCTCCGTCAAAGGCATCTATATAGAAACATGCTTATACAGTAAAGACTTCCATAGTGTATGTATGATTATTGACATTTAACTGACTTTTTGTGTGTTTGTAGCGAAACAAACCAGACTATTGAGTTGACTGATTAACATACAAGATCGGCTCGCTGAGCCGGTATCGACCAGAGGCCGCCAATGCAGTGAATTAGTCCGTTTTAAACCGTGGGATGAGGACCTGAAATTCATCAAAAGTTTAGTTAAAATTTTGTAATACGCAAGTGAAGTCGAGTTGTTGTTTTGTATTCGGAGCTGAAACCGGAGTCGAAAGAAGACTCGAAATTATAACATAAACAATAATTTTACATCTTCAAGTAAGGCATCGTGCTGGTATACAGGCAAATACATGCAACTATTTCAATTAAGGTTGTCCCCGAGCAAAGCGGAAAAGTCGAATACGAGCGCGAAAGGCTGCTGGAAATTATCGCTAAAAAATTCATTATTAATTTTTTAGCGATTCCCAGTAAGCCTTTCGCACTCGTATTCGACTTTTCCGCTTTGCTCGGGGACAACCTTAATTAATTGAATAGCTGTATACCAACTAATAAAAACAAAAGGTCTAGTGTGTACGATTACAGCAAGTCATATAAGACATATAAAACCTTGGCCACATGTTTTTGTTAAAATTTTCTTAGTCACTGCTCAATTTCTGAGAATTGCTTAATTTATCACATGAAAATTGAGCTTTTGCATAGTATGGACGCTTTACAGCCTTTACTCAATATCATTTTTGTCGTTTTCTCGACTGGAAAACACCAATGGCATAAGATAGCTATTAATAATGAATTGAGAGTTGAAGATCATGGCGTCGTTTGTTGAAAATCACTGATCGCCTGCCGGCAGGAAACTCGAAAGTAGCCGAACCTCAATAGTTGCAGAAATTGCTTAGATCATTGAAAACATTTTGTCAATGAACTGGAAGAACGGCCAGCTTACCTAATTTCCTATATTAAGTAGCTACATGAATAAGAACTTCCCCTCCATCTCTTTCTTTATGCATATCTAGACGTTGTTTTATTCTACAAATATACAATCAATTGCAAACTTATCTTAACGTTAACACAATATACCACCTCAAGTCATCATGATCATGCATTGATCATCGAAGGTATCTTCAACTAACAAGCTTACACGGTAGAAACTTCCATGCAGTGATTCATTAAATTTTTATTACAATTAAGTTGTAAACATACAAGATCGGCTCGGGCTTGTATAGTCTGTATAGAGTAGGCATGGACAACAATTATAAGGCAATGGTATTATAATGCATCATTAAAACCATTTACACTCTTGTTTATATCCATAAAACCAGCAGATTCTATAGATTTAAAATTTTTCAACAACAACATACCACCTGCAAGTACAATGCAAGTGTGGTTGTTTTGTATTCAGAACTGAAACGGTAGTCCAATGAAGACGTGTAAAGTTAGCCGATCATGAATGAGGTATATTATGCAATGCTATATATCAGTATAACCTCAACTGACATGCACTTCCTCTGCTGAGACGATTATTTTTCCTCAGTCGCTTCTATAGTTACCACGCCAAAAATGCGGAGCTATAAAAAAGAGGATGCGGTGCCAATATACTCCAATTTCAGTTTGGAGTCGAGAAGAGTGAAGATTGAAAACAAAGCTGTGAAGAATTATCAGAAGACAAGAATCAAGCAATTATTTCGACAATGAAACTTGGAGCTGTTCTAATCCTTGCTCTGGTGTATATTTTTTCGCCAGCAGGTAACTTAAAATTTCGTATAATTTAGGTCATGATGCTTGCGATGTTACTCTGACTGTATATCCACACCGGGCAAGCTTGAAAATTATGCTTGGCCACGTTGGGAATCAAACCTACGACCATTGGAATACTATAGCCCAATGTTTTGCCAACTGAACTACGCAGTCAGGTTGGTTCGAGTATGTGATATTTTGGAACCGAGTCTAGTTCCTTCGATATCAATGTAATCTAGTAATCATGATTTTTTTCTCTGTGTTGGTGTTGTGTACTCAGGTGAATATGATATTTGTATGTTACTCTGAGTAACATCACATTCATCTGAGTACATAACACCAACACAAAAAAAATTAGGTCATATTAAAGTTAAGCACTGGCGAATAAATTACTGTTTTTGTACATTATGTCACTGTTTAAAAGCAAAACTAGTAAGTTCAAAAGTTTACCCATGCACGCTTTATATAATTTTGTCAAATTTGATGTCGCTAATGTGATCACGCAAAGGGTTTAATAATGCAACCCTTTATTCTCTTTAGAATAGAAATTCGCCAACAAATGAATGCATTTTATATTTTTAACAGAATCGTCTGTCGGGGAGAGTGATGTCGTTCGTATATTTGATCCAAGTCTGAGAATGCCACGCGCTCAACTCAAAGCGTTGTTGGCAAAGGCAGATCTGGTTTCAGCTGGTTTTACGAAAACTAAAGAAACTCAGATCGTCACGGGTGAAGATGGTAAAAAGGTAACGAAGGAAGTCACCTACTACACCGTCCAAGACGCCTGCTCCAATGTTTCATACTGGGAAGAAATAATTCGCGATCGTCTTCCAACGTTATCTGCAAAATTAACAAAGAAGGTTATCGATGAAGTGGAGAAACGCATCAGTAATCGTGCAACCGAGTATTGTCAATTTGGTCTCGAAATTCATTTCGAACTTTGCGGTCACACTGAGAAAAAAGAAAAACCTGCAAAGCGTGGATTTCTTTGGCGGCGCCGCCGCAGGAGAAACCCACCACCACCACGAACAACGAACATATGTATCGGCCCATGCTCTTGTTGTTCTTATTGTGAGAGCGCTACGATCAAGTACATGTCCGTGAACTAACGATGACACCATGCGTGACGATAATGATTATCTGGACTTTTTTGTTTACTGTTGTTAAGTTGTTTGATATTTTGTTTTGTATTTTTGATATTTAAATACACCAGCATTGATAATTTCGCTTTTGTTCATTTGTTGTTGTTGTTTTTTTGTGTACGCCAAATATTACCTGTGGCTGTGTTTAAAAGAAGCCAGAAGGCGTAACCTCTTAAGATATAAAATATACCATTTGGCTTTCGGATTATCATAAAATGTGTCTAAAATGCATGAAGTGGCGTTTCCCAGACTCTAAAAATAAAACATTTTCCGGGCGACCATGTACCCAGCCTTACTTGAGGTCCCAATGGGCAAACCAACCTCTCTTAAGCGGACAGATGACAGATTTTCTGATAAAATGTATTCAATATTCGACAGTAAATAACAATTGAGATCAATTTACATGGCACATTGATTTTGACACACCAACCTGGCGCGAAGACATCAGAGCCGCCAGCCAAGGAGCCGAAAGATATGTGTGAGATCACTGATGATGACAACGAACTGAACGAAGATGATGAATTTGACTGGTCTCTTAACGAACCAGTCGTTAAATCTTCCTCCGAAGCTCTTAAATTTGTCGAGCGGCTGGCAGAATTCGCTGCACAATTTCGAGGTTTGGAAGAACTTTCTTACGTCATTTTTATGTGAATGACATTATAATGGGCTATCGTCTGCGTTAGCTTCGGAAGCAAACTTGTATCGATTCCTTTTTTATATGACTGTGAGAGACATATACATTTTCTAATGAACTTTTATGTACAAAGAAATTTTCATTTTATGCTAATTATTTGCTTGATATTTTTTACTGTTTTGATACTCAAATTACACACCTAATTACACCCCTTTGCCTCCTGCTGTGTTTTTCTACATACCCCTTTTGAGCTGACACCCCTTTTAAGCGGACACTTAGGCGAGGTCCCGAAGGTGTCCGCTTAATAGGGGTTCGACTGTAACCTCACCTTTTGCAAAACTTAGTCGGGTCGTTTGTAAAAATTTTGATTGATTTTGTCGTCTTGGTCAATATCAAGAATAATTTATTCGCCTGCATGTCTTCGGACATGTTTACGTATGATTCGACTTACTGATCGTTAAGACGGCATCCTTCAACTCTCAAGCTAGTCACCAATCCTGAGCGAACATAAAGTTCTGTGTTCTATATGCTATGTAGTGGTAATTCATGGAACTTAATTTAAGGCACTGCAGGTTTGTATATAGCCTATATATTATATTATATTATATTATATTATATTATATTATATTATATTATATTATATTATATTATATTATATTATATTATATTATATTATATTATATTATATTATATTATATTATATTATATTATATTATATTATATTATATTATATTATATATATATATATTATATTATATTATATATATATATATTATATTATTTATATTATATATATATATATATATATATATATATATATATATATATATATATATATATATATATATATATATATATATATATATATATATATATATATATATATATATACAAACCTGCAGTGCTGCTTGTTAAAAAGAATTTGAAGGATGTGGTTTATGTTGTTACAGGAATAGGGAGATTCAAGATTTTAAGGAATGAGAAATATGTATATATGCAAAACGTGCAAAATATAGTGACAAAATATTAAAAACGACCAAGTTGAATGGACCCTTATTAACTTTATTCATTTTACAAAATTAAAAGAATGACAGACATCCATATAATGTCTAAACTGACTGACTACTCCTATGCAGTAGCCATTTAGTACTAGTATATACTTCAGCCAAATAGTTATTTGGCTGAGCACTGACTATAGGTTGAGTAGCATAAGCATTATTAAAATTTTAATCATGCATGCAAACTTCATGTTTCCGCCAAAATTGCAGCAAAAGGGCAAGAACAGAATATTTTCATCCCCATATAATGTAATAACATTTCCTCATTCCCTTAAAATTTTACATGTCTAAGTGATTTTGGATAATTTTCACTCAAATATATGAGAACGCACAACTTTAAAACTCAAGTGAAAGTATTTTGGCGTAAAATTACATGCATACAACTGATGTCAATAAGACACTGATTTCAGTAATTCAGTCCAAGAAAATGAAACCCGCGTCGTCATTGACATTGACGTTGTGTTCAAACGACGAGTTTTTCTTAGAATATTGTAGTAGAACTAGCACATTTCAAGTTTCAAAAATTTTCAAGATAAAATTGTGGCTCTATGACTAGCTTTACATCACTATTACTGTCAGTGCTATGGTGACGTCGAGTGGTTGTTTGTATTCGGAGCTGAAACGGTAGTCGAAAAGAAGACTGACGAAGTCCAAGAAAATTATTTTAGTCGCGGCTTGGCATGTTTGATAAACACTTAAGCCATCAAGGTTGGCACAAATAACTAATGCCATTTTAGAGAATACTGTTAAGCAAAATTGTGGAACTTCAACAGTTTGTTTTGTAACAAAAGATCGTGAATTGTGAACCTTTTAGTTTATTCACTAAACTTTTTTCTGAGACTGACAAAGACCAGAGAAACGATGAAGTGAAATGAAAATAACTATCCATACATCATTTTCACCCACTGATACCAAAGTTTGTAACGAAAGAAAAGATTTTGACTCCTATGCCTATTTTGATTCGAAAACCTATGCCTATATGGACCTCATAGTATTGTTTTCAAAGACAAATAATTTGTGATGGAACAGGCATACGTACACTACGTGCTAAAAGGCTCGTACTCATGCATGAAAATCACAGATTGCTCTAGCTAAATGCTCCCAACGTTTTTTAAGTATTACAGCGTTAAATCTAATACAGTTTTCACGGATTTTTAAACTGGATAAAATAACTACATCACATAATTTTTATCCATTGATATTTTATAACTGCATGATCAAAATACTCAACCGTTTGCCTTCTATAGAATCACATAGGCATAGCAATTATCAATGACCAAATTTCAACTTGTCTAGTTGTCTGGCAAATATGCAAATAAAGTAAAATGATCAAGATATGTTTTATGCAAGTGAAGTAAAATAGGCTGGGTGAAATAGTATAACAACAAGGTTTATCATTTATTATTCATTCGACTCATCATCCATCTGTTGCAAAACAGGAAACTTCAGAACTATATGGCTTATCGCAAACTTTAGCCTAGCAAATATCAAAGACTTATAAAAATGTGATAGTCATGCATTTTAGCCCATGCACATAGAACATTTTTTGAGACATATTTTTAAATAAAATTACAGGAAGCATTGTTTTCAGAAATTTGCCAGTGCTTAATTAAACCGGTGATAAAGATTTAAGGTCTGTTCTGTATATGTTCACACTTTTTAAGAACCTGAAAATCCCGAAATATTATTTTAGGGCTCGTTAATTAATATATCAGCCATGCTAACCACATATAGCCTACTTCTGTATCAGTGTAATGAGTGTATCACTGCATGTATCTATATATTAGTGCTATGTCTATGCCGGGCTATCCCTATAGTGACGTCGAGTGGTTGTTTGTCAGTATTTGGAGCTGAAACGGTAGTCGAAAAGAAGACACGAGATTACTAAGAAAATTATTTTATTCAGCTTTACATAATGAAATGGCTTTATGTATTAAACACTTATGCCATCAAAGTATACGTACAAATAGGTAATGCAATTTCAAGCAATTGTTAAGCAAAACGTATTTTGATTGCAGTTTGAAATTCGAATTTCAACAGTTTACTTTGTAACAAATAATCGTGTAGTGTGAACCAGGGACGTAGGAACCGGGCGGGGGGGGGGCAAGGGGGCCAAGCCCCTCAAGTTTTCAGAAGACACAAAAAGTGCCCCTATTCCGGTGGCAAAGTGCCCGTTGCCTTTGTGAAAAATGTCGTTCAGATTGCTTTATGTTGCAAAGCGACAATCTATGAGTCTTTGTGGTTACTTGAATGTAGGGTAGTTAAAAAATGAGAAATGACCAGCCTGCTTTGCGCACTCTTTGGTTGCGAATCGGGCCATTCAGAACCAAAAATTGAGCTGGAATACTACAAATGGCAAAATTTACACGGTGCTCGTTTGCAAAAACAACTGCAAACTGCTTTAATTATTTCTGTCACTTTCATTTGATCTCATCCGTGAGTCGGCCTCAACGGCCTTTGATTTATGATTGCATTTATTTTCTTCCTTACGAATCTAACCCAAGACTACGTTGGGTTAGATCGGCACTTGTGGTCATACGGATTATAAGAATTACAAAGTCTCTGCGGTTATTTAAAATCTCGCGGTATTACGCAGGGTTGCAGGTCTTTGGTCGCGCCGTTCACGATTGCAGGGACAAATTGCGCGCTCTTGGCATGTGCGTTATAATCGTAGTCATATTATTCTCGAGTTTCATGTTCTTCGCAGAGAGCACCATGGGAAATGGAGATACGTCACAATTCCGCAGCATTCCTGATACGTTTTGGTCACGATCATCACCATGGTTACCGTGGGATATGGTGACGTAGTACCCAAGACGGTGGCGGGAAAAATACTAGGCAGTTACTGTGCGTTATGTGGGGTTATTATTTTGTACTGTTTCCCCACACCCATCGTAGTAGTGCTGCATTTTAATAAACTGTACAAGGAGTATGTCGCCTCAAGCGGACAGAATATGAGCAAGGAAGAGAAAGCGCTGGTTATGGCGAGAAGTTGATACTGAATAATAGAGACCTTATTAAGATTGACGTTCACGGTACCGCTAACCTCAAACGGTAAACTTTACATCGTATTTTGAAGTCAACGGTTGGCTGTTCAAAGTCAGGGCAACTTGTGCATTACATTTGAAGCAGCAATTAGCCATTGAACTGTTGAAAACCTGTAGTCTGTACTAGAACTTATCTTCAAATGCAATTTGACTGTTTCCCGTCTGCGGTTAGTAAAAGTCTCTAATATGTCATATATCAAATCGACGAGTTTATTGATTTTTATTGAACATGAGTAGTTTATAGCGCAGTCACAAGTTCACAGCAGTGATTTGAAACATTAGAAAGTGTGTTTAAAAACTAGTTGCTATAGAATATATAGTAGAACTTTTAGCATAGTTTGTGGTGTTTTAAAATCAGTGTATATTCCATATTTAACATGGACAGACCACAGTGCATTGACATTGTGAATTTAAAATTGTGTCTCTTTGACTTTGTCTTTGCCCTTTGGTGAAAAAAAGTTAATTATATTATTTATCCCACTATTATTATTAAGATGAGATACGAATGCTGTGCTATGCACTATCATTAAAGCAACTATAAATTCAATTGTTGTAGAATTAAGTTATGTCGTTTGATAAAATTTGATAGTTCTATACATATTGCATCAAAAGCCATATTCATGCGGAGACACAGTAATATCTCCAAGTATTTTACAAAATTACAAAGGATTACATGCAGACATGCACAAGGCCGAGGGGTGGGCTACCGTCTCTAAAATTCTAAAACTACCGGTCATGCATGTATGCATATAATAGTTAGCAAAACAACTATAGCGAAAGCAATGCTCTATAATTTTAACCATGAAAACTCGATAGCCAACTTTTATATTATTGCATCAAGTTTCAGACAAAAAAGTTCGAAGAACTGAAAATTGCATTAACACATGTGACATGGGCTGGAATATTGCACCTCAAATTACAAATAGTGTTATTATTTTTAGAAGTAGCAGCAACAGATTACTATATATATAGCTATACGTATACCCTCACAAGATTCTTTAAGAAACTGTTTTTGAATTAATGGGCAGTGCGTTTCAGTATGTGTTCCTGGTTTTATGTATGGCAGTACGCGTTTTTGGAGCCCAACTATAGCATGAGCCATGAGATTTATACCTACATTTCGTTTCGTTTTTGACAATTTTCAAAAAGTTACTCACGAAACTGTGAAATTTATCAAAGTATAATTAATTAAACGCGTTTTTGGTTAAAATTTTGTAACGAGCAAGTTTTGGGTGAAGTTCCCAACACGAATATAAGGTCGAGTTGTTGTTTTGTCATATTCGGAGCTGAAACGGTCGTCGAATTGAAAGAAGACTCGAGATTAAGACATAAACAGTAATTTTACATAAATAAGTAAGGCATCATGCTGGTATATACCAATATGAATAAAGACAAAAGGTCTATTGTGTACGATCGCAGCAAGTCTTAACACCCTGGCCGCATGTTTTAGTCAGAATTTTCTGAGTCTAAAAATCCCGAAATTTTATCATAAGATGAGCTTTCGCACGCATGATATATTTGACTATTTGGTATTTGACTTTCGCACGCATGCTTTACTCAATATCATTTTTGTCGTTTGCTCGACTGTAAAACACCAATGGTATAAGATAGCTATTAATAATGAATTGTGAGTTGACGGATCACAGAGTCATCAACAAATACGTCATTTCGGGGTTCGCGACGCCATCTTGAAAGTATTGTTTTCACTGTCTATTGACTTGTGCTTCAGTACCCAGTGCTTGCCCCACTTGGCAAGATGGCGTCGTGAACCCCCAAAACGTCAAACATCTGACGTTCAACCAAAAACCTCAATTGTTGCATCTGAGAAATTGTTTGGGTCGTTTAATTCCTATTTAAGGAGAGATATGAATAGGAATTTCCCCTCCATCTCTTTCTATTTGTTTACGTAATTGTTTTATTCTACAAAAGTACAGTACGACCACGTCAAGTCATCATGCATGACGCCCCGTCAAAGGCATCTAGAAACATGCTTATATACAGCAAAGACTTTCATAGAGATGATTATTGACTCATTTAACTGACTTTTTGAGGGTTTGTAGCGAAACAAACCAGAAATATTGAGCTGACTGATAGTGATAAACATACAAGATCGGCTCGCTGAAACGGTATCGACCACAACACGCCGATATCGATGCAGTGAATTACTCAGTTTTAACTACTGTGGGATGAGATTTATTTTGTTACAGCCAGGAAACAGGATGCGAGGTCCGATAATAAAAGAAGGATGTGGTAGATTTTCAGAAATATTGCATCAAAAGTCATCAGTATTCAGAGTGAATTCCAAGTATTTTACAAAATTACAGAGGATTACAGACACAAGCTAGGCCAAGGGCAAGGGGGTGGACTGCCGTCTCTAAAATTCTAAAACTATACCGGCCATGCATATACTAATTTAGCAAAACAACTATATAAAGTCTATATTATAATAAAAGCAACGCTCTAATTCTAAACATGAAACTCAATAGCCAATTTTTATTGTATCAAGTTTGAGGTAAAATAGTTTGAAAAACTAAAAATTACAGACGTACATGGGCTGAAATATATGGGCAGTGCGTTTCAATGAGTATGTGTTTTATATATGGCAGACGCGTCTTTTAAGCCCAACTGTAGTATGACATTAACGTGGAATTATTAAATTTCAATAAGTTAGTTCACGAAAACTGAAATTCATCACAAGTTTAGTTAAAATTTTGTAATAACCTAGCAAAAGTTTTGGGTGAAGTTCCCAACACGCAAGTAAGGTCGAGTTGTTGTTTTGTATTCGGAGCTGAAACGGTAGTCGAAAGAAGACTCGAGATTAAGACATAAACAGTAATTTTACATAAACAAGTAAGGCATCGTGCTGGTCTACAGCTATTTCAATTAAGGTTGTCCCCGAGCTAAGCGGAAACGTGAATACAAAGCGCGAAAGGCTGCTGGAAATCGCTAAAAAAATTATTAACTTTTAAGCGATTCCGAGTAAGCCATTCGCGCTCGTATTCGACTTTTCCGCTTTGCTCGGGGACAACCTTAATTGAAATAGCTGTATACCAATTAATAAAGACAAAAGGTGTATTGTGTACGACTACAGCAAGTCATAACATCTTGGCCGCATGTTTTTGTTGGTTTTCACTTTCACTTATTTTTGTTGGTTTTCAATTTTATCACATAAAAATCGAGCTTTCGCATGGGATTGACGCTTTACAGCCTTTACTCAATATCAATTTTGTCGTTTATTCGATTGGAAAACACCAATGGCATAAGATAGCTATTAATAATAATTGAGAGTTGAAGATCACGGCATCGTTTGTTGAAAATCACTGAAGCTTGCCGGCAGGGAACTCGAACTGAAGTAGTGGAACCTCAATTGTTGCAAAAATTGCTTATATCATGAGATCGTTGAAAACATTTTGCCAATGAACTGGAAGAACTGACAGCTTACCTAACTTCCTATATTAAGTAGAATATGAATAAGAATTTCCCCTCCATCTCTTTCTGTATACATATCTACGTTGTTTAAGTCTCACAAATAAGCAACAATTGCAAACTTATCTTAGCATTAACGTACTATACCACCTCAGATCGCCATGATCAAGCATCGATGATCATCAAATGTATCTTCAACTAGCAAGCTTACAGTAGAATCGTCCATGTAGTGATTCATTAAATTTTTGTTACAAGTTGTAAACATACAAGATCGGCTCGGTTTTGTATAGAGTAGGCATGGACAACAATTATAAGACAATGGTATTATGCATCATTAAAATAATTTACATCTTGTTTATATCCGTAAAACTAGCAGGTTCTATAGGTTTTAAAATTTTTCAACAACAACATACCACCTGCAAGTACAATGCAAGTGTAGTTGTATTCAGAACTGAAACGGTAGTCCAGTGAAGACGTTTAAAGTTTGCCGATATGAATGTGGTCATTATGCACCGCTATATATTATTGAACTCAATTGACACTCCCTTTGCTGAGACGACTATTTTTCCTCAGTCGCTTCTATAGTTACCACCCCAAAATGCGGAACTATAAAAAAGAGGATGCAGTGCCAAGATACGCCAATTTCAGTTTGGAGTCGAGAAGAGTGAAGATTGAAAACAAAGCTGTGAAGAATTTTCAGAAGACAAGAATCAAGAGATTATTTCGACAATGAAACTTGGGGCTGTTCTAACCCTTGCTCTAGCGTATCTTTTCACGCCAGCAGGTAACTTAAAATTTCATATAATTAAGGTCATGATGTTTGTGATGTTACTCTGAGTGTATATCCACACCGGGCAAGCTTGAAAAATATGCTTGACCACGGTGGGAAACGAACCTACGACCTTTGGAATACTAGCCCAATGCTCTGCCAACTGAGCTACGCGGTCAGGTCGGTTCGAGTATGTAATATTTGAGTCTATAGTTCCATCGATATCAATGTAATCTAGTAATCATGATTTTTTTCTCTGTGTTGGTGTAGTCAAGTGAATATGTTTGTGATGTTACTGAGTAAAAATCAAAAGCAACAAAGGGTTTAATAATGTGACCCTATCTTTAGAATAAAAATTCGCAACAAATGAATGCATTTTATATTTTAAACAGAATCCTCTGTTGGGGAGAGTGATGTCGTTCGTATATTTGACCCAAGTGTAAGAATGCCACGTGCTCAACTCAAAGCGTTGTTGGCAAAAGCAGATCTGGTTTCAGCTGGTTTTACGAAAAATGAAGAAACTCAAATCGTCACGGGTGAAGATGGCAAAAAGGTAACGAAGGAAGTCACCTACTACACCGTCCAAGACGCCTGCTCTAATGTTTCATACTGGGAAGAAATAATTCGCGATCGTCTTCCAACGTTATCTGCAAAATTAACAAGGAAGGTTGTCGATGAAGTGGAGGAACGCATCGGTAATCGTGCAACCGAGTATTGTCAATTTGGTCTCGAAATTCATTTCGAACTTTGCGGTCACACTGAGAAAAAAGAAAAACCTGCAAAGCGTGGATTTCTTTGGAGCCGCCGCCGGAGGAGAAACCCACCACCACCACCACGAATAACAACGAATATATGTATCGGCACATGCGCTTGTTGTTCTTATTGTACGAGGGCTACGATCAGGTACCGTCAGCACGAATTCGTGGTGTCTGGGTGAACTAATTGTAACACTATGAGTAGCGATAATGATTATCTGGACTTTCTTGTTTACTGTTGTTAAGTTGTTTGATATTTTGTTTTGTATTTTTGATATTTAAATACACCAGCATTGATAATTTCACTTTTGTTAATTTGTTGGGTTTTTTTGTGTGTACCAAATAGTACCTGCGTTTAAAATTGGCGTCAGCTCTTATGAAATTTCGTAATGTTTTCATCTATGACATAAAATACACCAAATCTGCGGCTTTCTTACCATAAAACGTGTAAAATGCCCGGGCGACCATGTCTCTGACCAGACGATTAGACCCCCCCTTTTAAAATCACTTTAGACTTCATTTGAGTCTATGACTGGATATAGTGCTGATTCCATTTTAACATGGATAGACCATAGTTCATTGTGAATTTAAAATTGCGTCTCTTTGTTGAGAAAGGCAATTATATTTATTTAAGTAGACAGGAATGTGGTATTATGCCCTACTAGTAAAGGGATTAACCTCAATTTTTGCAGAACTTAGAAATTTTGATTGACTTGTCGTCTTGGTCAATATCAAGAGTAATTTATTCGCCTGCATCTTTTCGGACATGTTTATACGTATTATCAGACCGTGTGAAAAGAAAAAAAGGGTGGTGCTGCCGTCTCTACATAATTCTTTTTATAGTATAATGAAAGCAATGTTCTCACTTTAATTAACTATGAAAACTTGAAAGCCAGTTTTCATGTCATTTTGTATCAGGTTTGACATGCGGCAAACAAGTTCGGACGGAAAATGGTATAGATATGCAAATATTCCAGCCTAGTTCCTGGCCTTCCCGCTTCCGCCTGATTATTTTAATTTAGGGAGAAATCGACAAGGTTTGCAGGTTGACCGAGATAAAGCTGTATTCGGATATTTTCCGAAACTGACAGCCCGCAAGTTCACGACAGCCTGTAACTCGCCCGTGCTTGGAAGGCCAGGGACTAGGCTGCAAATATTCCAATATTTGCATATCTATAGATTGTGGCTCCAACAGTAATTGCTGCGGAGCTAGCTACCCTGAAGCAAGCGAGCGTAGCAGCAGCCTAATATGTGCAGAGTGGGGGGTTTTGAACTAAATTTTATTTAGCGCATGGAATTGTGGTCGTGCGCGCTTTCTATGCGCAGAACACAAATTTTAAACTCGCTCGAGTCTTCGAATTTTTATCGAATTTCTAAAGCTTTTTCAAGTCTAATGTTACGCTTACATTTGTTTTGGA